ACAACAACAACAACAACAACAAAACTGCCATTCGGATTTTGATAGGGATTGTAACCAAGCAGCTTGGCTTCAAAAATGCACTTTAAAACTTTTTTTCTCCTTTCTCTTTTCTCCCTAATCACAAGATGTAACCTTGAAGCCAACTGCAGAAGCTTTTCCCCTTAACCTTAAAAATAAGACTTCATGTCCCTTTCTTTCCCATCATTATCTAACTGTATGCTAGTATCTAATTATGTGCTTACTTAAAGTTCTGGGACTTAATCTTGAGACAGGCAGACCAAACCTGGAAACCCTGCTGCGAAATTTCAGATAACCTCGGGTAGCTAGTCAACAACCTGGCCATTGTTGAGATGATGCTGGCCCATGCTCCAGGTGGACCAAGACCCAATATAGCCACCAAAAAAAAGATACACACATCTAGTACTTAGCACTTAGCACAACTCCTGCTTGCCTTCCACATCAAGTCCCCCCTTTTTAAATACTTACCTTCTTCCTAGAAACTCAAAGTGGTTACTTTAGATAGGGAATCTGGCCACTTCCCCATTACTAGTTCTGGTTAATAAAGTAACTTTCTTTCTACTGGACCTCTCCCTTGTTAATTGGAGTCTGCAAGCAGTGAGTGGCCAGACCTGTGTTCAGTTACAAGATGACACTGAATCTTTAGGTTGCTTTGGATAGTATGAACATTTTAACAGTATTAATTTTTCCAATTTGTGAACTGCAGCCCATAAGTTTTGATATATTGTGTTTCCATTTGTTTATATTGAGATATTGTCTAATTTCCTTTTTGGTTTCTTTTTTGACACAATGGCTATTTAAAAGTGTGTTCTTTAATTTCCATATATCTGTAGATTTTTCAGTTTTTCTTTTGCTGTTAATTTCTAGTGTCATTCCATTGTGGTCAGAAAAAAATACTTAGTATGATTTCTATCTTCTTAAGTCGGTTAGGACTTTTTTTGTAACCTAGCAAGTTACCTACCTTGGAGAAAAATTTGGGGCACTTAAGAAGAATGTGTATTCTGCCACTGCTGGGTGAAATGTTCCATATGTATCTGTTAGGTCTGTTTGATCTATAGTATTATTCACGTCCTCTGTTTCCTTACTTATCTTCCGTATTGATGTCCTCTCCATTATTGAAAGTGTGGTATTGAAGTTTCCTACTATTATTGTATTGCTATCTGTTTCTTCCTTCAGTTCTGTCAATATTTGCTTTACATATCTAGGTGCTCTGATGTTGCATGCATATATATTTATAATTCCTATATCTTCTTGATGGATTGACCTTTTTAATCGTTATATATGTCCTTCTTTGTCTCTTGTGATAGTTTTTGACTCGAAGTATGTTTTGTCTAAGTACGGCCACCCATGCATTCTTTTGGTTACCATTTGCTTAGAATACTTTTTACTAGCCCTTCACTTTCACCCTGTATGTGTCACTAAGTCTAAAGTGAATTTCCTGTGGAGTGCATGTAGTTGGGTATTTTGTAATTGTTTTCCATTCAGCTACTCTATGTCTTTTGATTGGAAATCAATTCATTAAAATTTAGTGTAATGATTGGGAAGGGGAGGATTTATTATTGCCATTTCATTAGTTGTTTTCTTTTAGTCCTATAGTCCTTTTGTCTGTCTTTTCCTTTCTTACTGTCTTCTTGATTTTTTTTTTTTTTTGTATTCATATGCTTTAATTCTTGTTGACATTTTTAGTATTATACCTTTTCATGGGTTTTGGAATTTTTGTTTGCTGACTCATTTTGAGTGGGATGATTTTACGTTCACTTTTTATTACCTTTTTTTCCCCTCTCTCCGGGCTTACTCTTGTTTTCCTTGAGGTTTTGTGATCACTTTTGTCTGGTCTGAAAGACTTCCAGGACAGACCCAGGTTTTATTATGTTCTATCAGCCATCCTTGCCAATGGTGATATTGGGGATATCACATACTCTGTTACCAAGCCAGCAGGTGGTTTGATTCTGTGCCTGGTTCTGAATCATATCTTTGTCAACTTTTCTCCTACAGGCTCAAATTTTTATAAAACTCTTCCTCTTAGTGTGTCATGTTTTTTTGTTGTTGTTGTTGTTGCAGTTTTGTTTTTAGCTTCTTCTTATTAGCCCAACCTCCTTGTTTGGCTTTACAGTTAACCTGGCTTAGGTCTCCTTATCTCCAGTGAGCCGGTTTTAGATTCTCTTATCCTGTAGGAGCAGAATGCCCAGCAGTCAGTGCTGGCTTCTAAATCTGGAGCCTTGCAGGTTCCCTAGCTTCAGACTTACTCACTGTTTGTGATTCTAATGCATTTCTAGTCCACAGAGATGTTTATCTGGTTCTTGGAGACAAACTATAACCTTTCTGTGTTTATTTTTTATGTTTCATCTCTAATTATCACATGTTTGGAACAGGAGGAGGCTTATAATGGTGTAAATTTGCTGCTTCATATTGACCAGAAGTCTCACCATTACTTTTGAAGCATTTTAAGCATATTTCTATCCTAATTTCTTGTCCATAGCTCTGTATGATTCTGACCTTTGAAGACTATAATAAAGGTTCATCATTTTTTAATGTACTTATTGTTTATACTCATCACTGAGAGAAAATACGTTACATTACACAGTAGTCAAGAATAAACTTCTTTAATGGGTTTATGTGACTAAAATTGTAAAGGTCAGGGGAACTAATGGGAAATTTGTTTTAATTATGCATTGATCACAAAACATAATATTGTTTTCTTTAAGGAACTGAACTAACTGGATTCTGAATCATATTTTATTATGAAACAGAAACAAACTCAGATTGATTTATTGACTCTGCTGTATGCCAGGCCTTGTGAGGAATACATGGGAAGGAAATAAAAAGGTCTCTGCCATTAGAAAGGCCAGTGTTTCTCAGCTGAAGGCTGAGGTTGGAGGGTCTCCTCTTCCCCTCTCCCCAGTAGAAATCTGTGAGAATCTGAAATGGGAGGCTTTTTTATTTTCAAACTATGTACCCCATCTCCATTTCCCAGCCCCCTACCACCAGGGGAGTGTGTCTCTTGCCTCTCAACTGCTTCAGAACTACTATCAGAGCCACTTACCAAGAACATACACCATAGCAATTGGGCATTATGAAAACAATAAAATATGTAAATAAATTCTAAAATGGATTAGGACGCTAGATGGATTGAGCATACCCTGGATACTAGGCAATGCATTAGGACCTTCCTTGCAATTGCTGTTACATCAACTCTGTGGACAGATGTTAACATCCATTTTTAGATACACAAAAGAGGGAGCACAGAGAGCTCAAGCAGCTTGCTGAGATTCCTAGTAAGTGGCAGAGGTGGACTTCAAATCCCGGCCTGCTTGCCTCTGAAACGCAGGTCTTAATGACTGTGTTGTAATAAAAGGGCCAAAGGCAAGGTTAAAATATGTCCTACTGTATTGCTGTTTCCTGAAAGAACTTATGGAGATTAAAATTCATAAATTGTTATAGGGTTAAAACAGATGAAATAATGCTTCTTGGACACACCATTTAGTTTTTTCTTTCATCTTTAAGCAATGCCGCACTAAAATTTGTCTGTAATGGCATAAAAAGACTGATATTTGGGCCGGGCGCAGTGGCTCAAGCCTGTAATCCCAGCACTTTGGGAGGTCGAGACGGGTGGATCACGAGGTCAGGAGATCGAGACCATCCTGGCTAACCCGGTGAAACCCGTCTCTACTAAAAAAATATACAAAAAACTAGCCGGGCGAGGTGGTGGGCGCCTGTAGTCCCAGATACTCGGGAGGCTGAGGCAGGAGAATGGCGTAAACCCGGGAGGCGGAGCTTGCAGTGAGCTGAGATCCGGCCACTGCACTCCAGCCTGGGCGACAGAGTGAGACTCCTTCTCAAAAACAAAACGAAACAAAACAAAACAAAAAAAACTGATATTTGCCTTTTCTTCTCCATTCCCCATGCTTGTCAATCGTTACAGAGATTATGCTCAAACGTGATATCAAGAAATGATTTTAGTCCCCAGCTTAAGCTTCATTTCTATGTGAAATATGGCAGACTTTTGATGCTTTCTCTAAGGTCCTGCTCTGGATGTTCTCCTTGCGTTCAAGGCCCTTTTAGGGAGAGAGCCAGTCTATGGCCAGTCTTGGCAGCTCGGTAAATGCAATTGACAGTGGAATCATTCTTAAAGTTCGCTATCACCAGGTCAAAACTAGCCCCTGGGGCATTTTGGGAAGCTTCAGTTCAAACACCTGAATTCATTTTCACCCAGCGCTACCTGGTTACCTTGTAACTCCAGAGTTATTTAGAGAGATTTTGTATATGATTGCTTAAGCTACAGCTTCTTCCCCCTTTGCAACCTATTATTGAAATAAAAATGTAACTTAGGCCGGGCGCGGTGGCTCAAGCCTGTAATCCCAGCACTTTGGGAGGCCGAGACGGGCGGATCACGAGGTCAGGAGATCGAGACCATCCTGGCTAACATGGTGAAACCCCGTCTCTACTAAAAAATACAAAAAACCAGCCGGGCGAGGTGGCGGGCGCCTGTAGTCCCAGCTACTCGGGAGGCTGAGGCAGGAGAATGGCGTGAACCCGGGAGGCGGAGCTTGCAGTGAGCTGAGATCCGGCCACTGCACTCCAGCCTGGGTGATAGAGCGAGACTCCGTCTCAAAAAAAAAAAAAAAAAAAAAAAAAAAAAAAAGTAACTTAGCTATTTCACAGGCATATGGATGTTTTTAAGTGGAATAAGTTCATGCTGTTTTAAATTAGGTTCACCAAACAACATTTCTAGAATATTTTCACCTTTCTAAATAAAGTGCTTTTGATTGATACTCCCTCTAATTCAAACTGGCAGTGCATAATACCCTAAATCAGGGCCTGCATAAGCAGTCTGTATAAAACATGCTTATGCTTTTCAGCTTCCCAAGTGAATCTTTCCTAGAGAGAATTGTTTTTTATTGAATGTTTGAGGTCATCTTACAATAATTATGACACAATCAGTAATGGCAACAATTTAAAGAGTTTACAATATGTGCCAGGAATATGATAGTGATAAACATGTCATCTCATTTATTTCTCACAACACACTTTTTAAGGGTAGGTTTGTATTATTATTCCCACTTTACAGATAGGGAAACAAAGGTTAGAGAGATTAAGTAACTTGCTCATGTCAAGGTGGTAGGGAGAAATTATTGAAAGCACTCGTTATGCCATGTGTGCAAGCAAAAACTGGCAGATTAATTTTTAGCATACTCAAATAAAAGGTCATGCATTAGAGAAAAGCAGTCAAAATAGGTACTGCCCCATCTTTAGTGAAGCAGACAGAGGGATATGACTGAAATAATGCTCGGCTCTGGGTCAAAAGCTCTGGCTTCTATTTTCAGGCCCTGCCACTTGGGCAAATATTCCTTCTCTGTGTAAAAGTACAATGTTGGCCACAATCTCCTAAAGTCATTCTAGCTTTGATAGGGTGTGATTGTAGGAGCCTGCAAAGGTATCTAGAGTCATTGTAGGTTTCCTCATGTATGTAGCTCTATGCAATTAAAAAGATTAAGTAAATCTTAGGAGCTATCAAGAAGGTTCTTACAGTTATATAACATACAAAAAATATATAACATACAAAAAATATATATAACATACAAAAAAACTTATAGGATACATCATAGTTTTGGTTGCTACATCTCCAAAATCTAGTGAAATTCAAGAAAGTTTCAGAAGGAACCACTAAAATGGCGAGATGAGACTATTATAAAGGGTATAGCAATCTTCAGCCTGCAAATAGAGAAAAAAGTCTTATTTAGAAATGTCTGCAAAATTATGATTGTTATGTATTTCATACTTGAGAAAGTAATTTTAGCTCAGATAAAATGAAGTACTGTTTTACACAGTGGATGATAATTTTTTTTTTGTGGAACTTTCCATCTGTAGAATCAAAAAGTAAAAAATAAACGTGAAAACAGTCAAATGTAGAAATAACAGTCCATCATAGACTATCAAAGGACACTGTAAAGTATGGAGTTCTCCCCTAAAAGTTGGTATTGCCAGGGATCATAGTTATGATGCCCTTCTACCGTATGTCCCAGGGTTTCAATGGAAGTTATCAATACAGCATAGCTCCAATTCAGGAAGGCAAATTTTAAGTTATAAAGGGTTCTGTTTAGGATGGCAGATTTCCTTAATCATTAATTTTCCTAGTAGTATAATATGTTAAATTTTTGTTTTGGTTCCAGTTGAAGAGCAGCATGATGATAGGAATTTTTACTAGAAAAAAAAAATACTAATATCATAGGAAAACATTAAGAGTTTCTTCTTTCTGAATAGTGGTCATGATGAGCTCACCCTTACTTTTAGAATCACAGAGGTTGACAGCGGGTTTGGAGATGATCTATCTCATGGCCCCCTCAGGGCAGGTGTCCATTCTTTACCTGGCAGGTGTTCCTTGCACCTCTGTTTGAACAATGCCAATATTTGGCAGCTTATCTTCTGGGGAGTACTATTCCCTTGTGAGACTGCTCAGGTTTATTCTTTACTGAGCTCAAATCTGTGTGCATATGCTGTCTTCTCAGTGGCCTGATTATACCTTCAGGGCAAGTCTACTCTTCTTGCAGATGAAGCATCTAGCCCCTTACAGTCTTCTCTTCTCCAGTGTAACATATTCTGCTGCTCTTCAAGCAGTGCACTTCTAGACACTGGAAAATCCTGACAGCTCTTTTCTGACCACCGTCTCTTTTCCAAACTCTTTCCTCAAGTGTCCTGGAAGGAAACAAAAGGGAGTGAAAAAGCATTTGATTTATTTAGAGTAAAAAGTGAGTATTACTTCACATAATCAACAGCTTTATTTTATTTTTATCAATGAACCTTAAAATCTTTAAAAACATTTTCCCATGACTGAGATACTCTTAGCTCAATATGCTTGTGGCCACCACCTGAGTTTCCTGATTGTTGCCAGACAGATTCCTATCAACTCACCCTCTCAAAGTGCAGTGTGCACTTCAGATTTATCCCCACTGAATTATCTTGTCAGTTTTAAGCTATTATTTCTGCTTTAGGATATTTTACAATCTTGATTATTTGGTCCAACATATGAATGATTCATCTTATGTTTTTATCATCTTAAAATTCATAAGAATATCTCCAAGGTATTGATGGAAATGTTAAACAAGACTATATCAAGGGCTGAGTTAAGCAATGCGAACATTCAAAATTTAATGAGAAATATAATTTAGTAAGAATGGTACTTTGATGCTTGTATTTCCTTTAATCTTGCTCTAATTTATAGCCTATTAAAATGTACTATTTATGCTAATAAACACAACTTAAATTTTAAAACACGTGTTTTTGTTTGTATTGTTGTTTTTCAAAAAATGCACAATTGAGAAAAAAAAAAGCCCACTTTTCTTTTTTTTTAAGGTTTTCCACAGGTTGTGATTATTCAACACATGGCTACAATCGACTGATGAGATTTAACTGATTTAATGTATGAGAATATAATCTAATGAGAAGTCAAAATAATTAGGGGGACAGGGACAACCTCATGAGGGTTGACTTTCAGAATCTAAATCCACAACATGACAATAATGTCACAATGTCCATTGATGAAGAAAGCGAACAGTCTTTTTTTAATGATGTTCTTTTATTTCAGTTAATTGCATTTAGAGAGAGGACAATTAAACTATTCATTCTCCTTTGTGGTATCTATTAAGTTTTAAAAATTACCTTGTCTTTCTGTTATGTTCTTTTTAAAATAATTATTCCTTATGGACTCTCAGTCTAAGCTAATTTTTATTTGTTCTCTCCAACAGGTCTATCTTTATAACATTTGAGTTCCCCCTACTCCTTATCTTTGGAGTTCACTTTTATGGGGACAAAAGATGAGTTTTCTATGCTTTGAGAAGCATGATGATGCTTCATGTTAGCTTTGGAATTAGAAGAAATAATTTTTGAACCATTCTTTTTGAGTTGTGATACACAAACATTATAAGGTTAATCAGCATTTTAGCTTATTGGTGGCCCTTGATTCTTACAAAACTAAGATAATTACTTCTCTTTTTTCTGCAGATGTGATATTTGACTATGAATATTGAAGTTAAGCTTCAATCCATTATATTGTAAATGGAAAAGAAGAGTTTTTCATTTTAGGTATATATACATAATACATGTATTCTTTTCCTTGGTTCTCATTATGTTTATATTAGGTACAAAACTAGTTAACATGTCTATTCTGGCGTTTTTCCTCCAAGATATGTAAATTCTAATAAAAAATAAGACCAGATTGGTGGAATGGGGATAATAGTATTCTTTTAAACCAGGATGCAAGAAAATGAAATGTTTAATTTTTGCAACATCTCCTTTCTAAAACAGAATATACTGATGGAAATTTGGCTTGTTTCCTAGAGTCTGAACACAGGGGTTATTAACTGCAATGACTGGGCTAATACTATGAGGTGAGTATGATAAAAGGATTAAAAGCTAGCAGATACTGTGCTTGGATAGCAGGCTGGATGCCTGTGCAGGCATGGAGCCTTTCAAAGTAAAGTTGGCTCCTTGACACTCTGTCCTGAAGCTTGTGCTGATTTTTAACATCATTAAAAATCAGGTCATTGAGAAGTCTTCTTTTAGGGATGTCTGTAACATTCCTTGACTGCCTTATGTTTAAGCTAGAATTTAAGCATCCAAATAAAAGTTGTTCTCAGGTGTCATCATCATAGGAAGCCATCTAGCTACCCTAAAGTTCACTAAAAAGTCCTGGAACTTGAGATGATTGACTTCTGACTCCCCATTGTCAGTGTGGTCCAGAGATATGGCAGGCAGGAGCCAACTGCTTAAGGTAGAAATGCTTTGAGTAAGTTTCATTTGAACTGCACAGGCTATCATGGCTGGGTATTTTTCAAAGCTACGTAGGGTTCTGGAATTTTAGAAACCATTAGGGGCCAAGAAGAATCTGTCAGCTTATAGATCTAAATGTTCAAAATTTAAGTTAAAGCCTGTTTCTTTTGGTAGGAAGCACCTTGACTCCCATTTTTTATAATGAAAAATTGATGATATATCTATTAGCTTGTTTAAATTGAACCATAGAAGAGTCCGTAGGAGACCAGGTGCAGTGGCTCATGCTATTAATCTCAGCACTCTGGGAGGCTGAGGTGGGTAGATCACTTGAGGTTGGGAGTTTGAGACCAGGCCAACATGGCAAAAACCTGTCTCTACTAAAAGTACAAAAATTAGCCTGGTGTGGTGGCACGTGCCTGTAATCCCAGCTACTCAGGAGGATGAGGCATGAGAATCACTTGAACCTGGGAGGCAGAGGTTGCTGTGAGCCAAGATCACACCTCTGCACTCCAGCCTGGGTGACAGAGTGAAACTGTCAAAAAAAAAAAAAGTCTGTAGGGTACCAAATGCTTTTTTTTTTTGGAGACAGGATCTGGCTCTGTGGTATATACTGGAATGCAGTGGTGTGTTCATGGCTCACTGTAGCCACAGTCTTCTGGACTCAAGCAATCATCCTACCTCAGTCCACTTTCCCCTCTCCAGTAGCTGGGACTATAGGCATGCACCACTACACCCAGCTAATTTTTTTTTTCCATAGAGATGAGGTCTCACTACATTGCACAGGCTAGTCTTGAACCTGGCCTCAAACGATCCTCTCTCCTTGGCCTCCCAAAGTTCTCAGATTACATGTGTGAGCCACTATGCTCGGCCTTCTTCTTTTTTTAAATCCTACCCACTTGGCATGGCAAAGGCCTAGGACGTAATGGTAAGTGAATAGTTGTAAGGAATGAGAAGTTCTAACTGTGTGCTGTACCATGCTTGGATTTGATTATGGGGAAAATGATCAATATTAACATAGAAGTTACTTAAACTCTCTATGTCTCTTCCCTTACCTCAGGAAGTTCAAATACAGTGTTGTAATTCAGCTCTTCTACTCTTCCTGTCCTCTCAAATGAGACAACTTATACTGTGGTTGCTGAGGCTAAATAGAGGAGGAATTCAAATACATGATTCTTCTACTTAAGAGAAGATCATCTCCAGTTGCATCTAATCATGAAACCCAGTTGCCTCCATTTCATGAGAATGATTTCCTTCCATGGACATTCTCTGCTGTTCTCCTACTGTCAAGTCAATGTTTAGTCAATTCCAGCCATTTCTTGCAAATACACTGCAATCACATTTTATAAATCTACCAAGCGCTTGGTTTTCATGTGTCACAGATAAATTAGGTCTTTCTTATTTTATTCTGAGCTATCAGTCTAGTAACATGCTCACAGCATGCAACCAGGAATAGGCATGATCTCCTTTTTGTGAATCTAATCTGAGTGTCCTTTAGAAGTAAGAGGGGATAGTCTGGGAGTGGAAACAGCTCTTTTCAGGACCAGCTGGGTGATCCATGAGCATTTGAACAGATGGCCCATTTTTGTGTGAAAGGATTCTGTATCCTACAAACTAACACCCAATAGCGTCACTGGAAAAAAAAAAAAAAGCTTGAAGATAAGAAATCAATTCAAGAGGAACTCACGTGTTTGCTGTGTTGCCTCTGAACACACCCTGTATGTCAAGAGCTTAGCTTTATTCTGTAGACCACCTAGTCTGAATCATTGGGGAGGAAAATATTTGTTCAAACATAGTCCCTTTTGTCTGTGCTGGGCAATAGCACAATACATTCAGCAACTGCCCTTTGAAAGTCAAGTCTTTGTCTCCAGTGGGGATTATGAAAACATGGATTTCTTGAGAAGTGCCTGCCCACCTGTGTTTAGATTTTAAATTGTGGGAAGATGCTTGACAGCCAGAAAAGAGATGCTCAGGGAAAAGTCTGTTGAGGTTATAGAGACTTTTTAAAAGACCATTTCCTCCTTCAAAATTATTAGAATAGAAGAGGAATTCTTGAAAACTGTCATGGAATATTGTATTGGATGGAACCTTGAAAGGTTTTATTTATCTCTTCTCTTTTAGCTTTCTGTCTAAGGCCTCAGAATGTAGTCTATTTTAGAAACTCTCTAAGGAAGGAAATTTTTCGTAACCTTTCCCCTGTTAGTCATTTTTTTTAACTTCAACAAAAGTCTGCATCAGAAGATTCTTGCTTGCTTATGTGACCCTAATGCTCACTGCTGCAGTCCAAGCCTGGCTTCCCTTGCGCTTTCTTCTGCTGTTCAAATTCTTCACAGTGAGACCTGTCTTAGCTGAAGCCCATTATTAGGTCACTCCTTGGCCTCTTCTCTAAGGCTAAATAATGAGTTATTATTTTTTCTCCTTTTTCGGTACGTCATACTTTTTCAAACATTTAATCATTTTTGTTGTTGAAAATTTGGGGACTTCCTGTGTCTGGAAATGCATTAAGCCTCAAACTTTGTAGCCCTAAGACTTTTCCTGCTACCTTTTAAAATACACCAAATAAAATTAAGACTAGGAGAAGAAAGCCGCTGCAATTTTTTTAAAACAATCACAGAAGCCCAAAAAAAAAAAAAAAAAAAAAAAAAAAAAAAAAAACCCCACCGAGTAGCTGTCTTTCTGGTTTTTGATTAAGAAGACATTTGTAAAATGAAACATACGTTATTGTCAGATAGGTCTGTTGTCTACTGACAATTGATCAACATGAATGTGGTCAGGTTTAGATGAATATCTGTACAACTCACGTAATTTTTAATAAAGAAAGTTAAAAGCTAAGCATGCCAAGAAAATAAGTATGACTCAAAAGTGGCCCTTTCTTAGTATATTAGAAGTATTACAGCTTCTAGTTACCAACGGCCTTTGAAGATGACTGG